GGAGCCCATCAGTCAGGGACCGCTGCCCAAGGCACGCTCCGGGGTCATGGCATGGCCCTGATGAGCAGCTTGTCTTCAAACACAAGTTCATTTCTTTCTTTTATAAAAATGTCTGCGCAACTGCATTTATTCTTAGTCACACAGGTAATAGGATTTTAAAAGGAGAATGGGATACATTTTTGCCTTCAGCAGTTTCTTTTAGCAGTTTCTTCCCCAAACTAATTATTATACTTTAAAAAAAAAAAAACAACACATCCAAACATGCCTCTTAATACTAGACTGGGGTTTTTTTGCTCACACATTACACTATAAACAGGAGCATCTTTTATAACCTTTCTGTAACAGAATAGGTTTTATCTTGCTCTGCTATTTCCCTTTCATGCCCTTTTCTAAGATGCACATTATTACCCCTGATCGCTCTTGGGAGAATTTTATTTTTGTCACCCTCTTCAGTCTCCTTCGGCTTTGAGCAGGAGTTCAGCTGTTTTCTAAACGGCAGGTCACCACTCACTGCTGTCACAAAATATTTCTGCTCCACTTGTAAGGACTGCAGAGTTGGACACAGCTTTTAAGTGGGTTTTGTGCTCCTACCAGTAATCTTTCTACTTATTTACAAGGCTCCTACTGTCACACACTCTTGAATGCTAACAACATTCTTTGAAAGAAGGCAGTGGGGAAGGAAAGCGTTCTTAGCCACTCTACAGAAGAACAGGTGCCAAGAGATGTAGGTCCTGGTCCAAAACAATATGTAAGGTTCAATTCCTACTGTCACGAATGTCAGTGACAAGCCAGAAGTCTATCATCTTCATTAAATTTGGACTTCAGCGATGTCTTCAAGGTGTAAGAAAATGATGATCCAGTTGAGAACTGAATGTATGCATCTGTATAGATAGATAGCTATCACATCACCAGCCAAACACCATGACCACAGATGCGATCGTTTCTTTCCGATAAAGGCAGTGCAGTCATTAAAAATGGCCTTTTCCTAAATAGCTGTCTGGCTGATGAGCTCTCACAGGTCCACAGCTCTCAAAATCTGCAAACTTCTTTTGGTTATAGAAAGGAAAACACTCAGAGGGCTGTAATGGGAGAATAGGATAGGTCACAGGTGCCAGTTAAAGGGCTGAAGTTAAAGGAATACTATTTCTAAACTCTGAAAATAGCTATTCTGATAAAAATGCCTCTTTCCCATGTCACTTTGTAAACAATAAGTAAATACATACACAAAATACAAATTCTAAGCTATTAGGAGCCATGGTGACAAAATAATGCTTTAATACTATTTTAAAAAAATAATGCTTCAGTATTAAAAAACCAACCCTTTTGAAAGTATTTATTTGAAACATCTAAAAGGTTTAATTGTATTCAGTTTTTAGAGTCACAGAATTCTAATCACTCACATTTGAAAAAAAAAGTAAAGGCATTTCTCAAATTTCTGAATATCAGCCAAATAAACTACTAAGTTTCATGCTTAAGCTAAGTATCCACCAAGAGGTACCGCATCGAGATCGAACCGTACTTGTATTCTTAATTCCTCAGTGGAACTGTAAGGCCCTCTTCTGGATTATAAACGACTCCGTGGGCAAGCAAAGTGCATGGAAACGACAAACCAAGCAACGCTACAAAAAGATAAACATTGCAAAGATATTTTCTTCATACTATTCCTAATTTCATTTCCTGGTTTTCATACGTATCTGCCCATCTGTTACTATAGTTTAGCAGCAGAGAACAACTTCTGAGCAGATCCTTAGTGATAAAGCATTTCTTAATACTAATATTCACAAGAGGGGTGGACAGTCTAAAAAGAGTTGTGAGAAAGAGTTTCTCCACCACTTTGTATGAAGATGCTGTGCAGCTAAAGGATGCTTGCTTATGCTTATTAGCAATAGCACACACAGACTGAGACGTGATTCTGCAGATATACCTGTCTGCATGGGTACGTGTGACTTCCAGAAGCGATGTCTGAAAATTTGGCTTATGCTAGGGGGAGCACAAAAAGCAATGAAGAACCATCACCATTGTCTTACCTCAAATCTTCAAGGACTGCAAAAGTCCTCGCCTCTTTCGATTAAATATACACACACGCATGCACGGTGAAGGTCTTACAAATGTAATTTTCCAAGAGATTTACTTGGATTTGCCTAAGCAAACATTTACTATTGAAAAGCAAGATGCTTCTCCACAGACAGAAAGAAAGAAAATACTCTAGAATGTGCTGTACAGAATTGCATCGTTTTAATGGATCCATCTGGCTGTAAACAAGTGAACTTGAACCATCAATTTTCCTCTTTCTAAAATCAGCCACGACTTCTGCTTGGTCACGTATGATAACAAGAAATCACACACACAGAAACACAGGGACAGGTAGGAATTATCCTATTGATAAAAACTCTACACAGAACATTAGACCAAGTTTAATTGGACTGTACGTTTTTAAAAAAGCAGGAAGCTGAATAAAACTTCCCATCTCATTTTTTGGGTAAGTTTCTGTCTCCCATCAGCGTAGGGCTAATTACGATGGTCCTTTTTCCGTACTTTCGATTTTGGTGCTGCCAAGAAGAAACAGAAAGGGAGAAAAACCATCAGAAGTGAACTACAGTAACACCAGTGCCAGCATTCTCTTAAATTAGGCTGGGATCAAACCGGATCCATTAACGTGAAACCTACCATTGGGATTTTCTTGTCTGTAGAAAGCTTTTAACATTTCCACTGCTTCTTTGGCGCGATAGCCAGAAATGCACTGTTCAAATCAGAATGGTGATCATGAGCACATCTGAGAATAACATATTCTATGCTTCACAATAATGCCCTAAGCACAGAATAATTGTCAACAACTGCACTGTCTATTCCACTGATTTAACACGTACCTTGAACTATCTTGGGGTCAGAAAATCTCCTTTTCATGTTTTCCTCATACATTGGAAAAATACTAGGTTGAGGTTTAGCAGAGTAAATAACTTCCCTAATAACTTAGTTAGAAATTGGAGATTGCATAAAAATTTTACAGAAGTTCCTAAGAAAGTTTGTTTTTTCTTTCTCGTTAACATGTTTCCAACTTACTTCATATACTCTTCAAGCAGACATACACCTAGGTAGTTGCAGATAAGATTCCTATCAGACAATGTATGTCCACACACCTACTCTTTATTCCTAACAGTCACCTCTCAGATGGTTTTGGTCTTTCAAAAATATTTTTCCAGGCCCTGAACATTAATGATAAAGCATTTAAATGTCAGTAACACTACTGAATCTCCACCCACACTAGAAAATAATGAATTACACCTATACATCCCACTGCAGTTGCCCACAGAAACAAAGGATCTGTAGTAGCAAGAATCTTCTCCTCTCTTTTTTCTGAACATATAGAAAAATCAAATACCATGTGCCAGTGTTAGCAAATGAACACTCTTCCAGCACTGACTATAAAATTTAATTCAGATGCTAGTCTCACAAACACCCTGACAGAAAGATGCTTAGTATGTTTATACTGGACTATATTGTCTTGCTGACTAAAATTCTTTCTAAACCTTGAGCCTTAAGTGCTTATTTACAATGCTGAAATATATCACTTATTTTTTACATTATTTAAATCAAAAATGTTAAGTGTGGAAAAGAACTGCAAGAACCCTAATCAGTATCCTTATACAAGGCAGGATCAGCTACAACTGTGTCTAATGCAATAAATATAACACTATAAATACTCTCCATCTATATGCAGGTACAGGTGTATAGGTAAACTAATATAAAGCCGTAAAATGTCTACATTTATGTATACAGTACCTCCACCGAATGCTTGTCAGCCTTCCTTAAATGACAAAGATGCTAAAACTCAGTGATTTACTAAGTTGCTGTTATTTGATCTTTATTGATTATGCGTTTGTACATTCTGCAGTTTAAAATAATTTTTCCCTCATCTCTTCCTGCAGCATACACTTACTGTTCTAAGGATTACACATATTTTACATATATCTATTCCTTACCTTGTTCCATAAGTATAATTCTTTCCTTTCCCCTTTGATGCATCCTTTTAAATATTTTAAGATTGTCATCAGGCTTCTCCTCAATTTTCTTTAAATTCAGGACTTAATTTGTTTACATTATTTTCTTGTAAAGTCAAGTTTACTTGACTTCTGATCATCTTTCATCGTTGTTCTCTTAAACTGATGCATAACATTCTCAAAGCATGGTAACGAAGCCAGACACAGTACCCTAGCTGAAAAACAAAGGAAAACATTTTACAGCTTACTTCAAATGGTTCTCCTGTGTCTACCATATCATCAGACGAGATGCTCAAGACTGAGCCACAGCCTCCAAATCGCTCATTTCGACAGCCATATACGACCCGTGGAATTTATGTGAAAGAGTTAAGGCATTAAATGAAAAGCAAGCAGGAAGTAAAGTAGTCTGACTTAAGTAGTAATTCAGTTTCACTAAAACGAGCTTGTACTTTTCAAGCTAAATTAGTTCGCACTACAATTCCTCCCCCATAAAATCAGAACTTACTCCGGAGTAATGGAAGATGCACTGCTGAAGAGGCACACCCAGCCTTCCTCGGAAAAGGAGAAGCACGAATCCCACAGCAGAGGTGTACAAAGCCATGGTTTACTGATTGTCACATTCATAGAATCATGGAATGGTTTGGGTTGGAAGGGACCTCAGAGATCATTCAGTTCCAACCCCCCTGCCATGGGCAGGGACACCCTCCACTACACCAGGTTGCCCAAAGCCTCATCCAGCCTGGCCTGGAACACTGCCAGGGATGGGGCAGCCACAGCTTCTCTGGGCAACCTGTTCCAGTGCCTCACCACCCTCAGAGGGAAAAATTTCTTCCTTATATCCAATCTAAATCTCCCCTCCTTCAGTTTAAAGCCATTGCCCCGTGTCCTATCACTACACGCCCTTGTAAAAAGCCCCTCTCCAGCTTTCCTGTAGCCCCTTTAAGCACTAGAAGGCTGCAATAAGATCACCCCGGAGCCTTCTCTTCTCCAGGCTGAACAGCCCCAACTCTCTCAGCCTGTCTCCAGAGCAGAGGTGCTCCAGCCCTCGGATCATCTCTGTGGCCTCCTCTGGACCCGCTCCAGCAGCTCCATGTCCTTCTTGTGCTGGGGACTCCAGAGCTGAACGCAGTATTCCAGGGGAGGTCTCACAAGAGCAGAGTACAGGGGCAGAATCACCTCCCTCGACCACTTTACACAGTAACAGTAACACCTCTGACGTGTATTTTCACATCCCTAAGATAAATTGTGTTTGTCATAGCTCCATCATTTCTTTTTCACTCCTGAGTCTCCCACTATTTACCACGCAGTAAACGGAGGTGGGCGCAGACTCTCAAACCATAAAACGGCCCCTCTGTTGGCTTTGCCTGGCAGTACCAAGTCCTTCCATGTGGGTTCACTGCCAAGAGAGTAACATTTTGACATGGGGTTTCCCGCATGAATAGGCATGGAAGGATACTCATCAAGCGCACGGCGGCTGCGCACATGATGCAAGGCTCCACGGTTACATACAACACTGAGTGTGGAAACACTTCTGTGTAATCTCGGTCATGCTGCTTGCACCAGTCAAGGACCTGATCGATTGCCACCATTTCCGCATGTCGAGTAGCCTAGGAGACAAAAAAAAACATTTCCTTCAAGTCTGCAGTGATTCATAGCTTTAGGCTTATTTGTACCAGATACAAATGAAATAAAACACAATATCGTAAAATTATTGTTATTATTGAAATACTCAATATGTATTCAACCTCAGTCTCATATGCAGCACACACAAGATCCACAAGTGCAAACCAGGTTTTTTTTCTTTTACCTGTTCCTGGGCAGAGGAGTCTGCTCAGAAGTTCTCCTCTCTCTGTCATGCCATAGTAGGACATGACATGAAAGCTCTGCTTGGGCCTTAAGGGACACGCAAAGCCCAACAGAACACCTGATCGAGCCCAATGTGTTTCCAGGAGCAAGAAGGCAGGCCAGGTTAATTCTCTGGAAGCACTAAGAAACTGCTCCTACCTGGTAGGTTTTCCTCCCTCTGATGACGTTACTGTGCTTGCACAGAATGTATGCAATAATTTCAGCATGTTTCTGGAACTGCTTAGCCTACTGTGTAGACACAGTATTTTCGGTTTGCATCAGGTTTAACGCTGCCTGGGAATATGCACGTGTACAGTTCAGTCTCTCAAGTAACAGGTAGGGGTTGCAGCATACGCCTGATTACAAAAAGACAGAAGAAGATTGAGTTCTCTTTTTTAATCCAAGATGACACAGAGCTGCTGGAGCAGGTCCAGAGGAGGCCATGAAGATGATCCGAGGGCTGGAGCACCTCTGCTCTGGAGCCAGGCTCAGAGAGTTGGGGCTGTTCAGCCTGGAGAAGAGAAGGCTCCGGGGGGATCTTATTGCAGCCTTCCAGTGCCTAAAGGGGCTACAGGAAAGCTGGAGAGGGACTTTTTACAAGGGCGTGTAGTGACAGGACAAGGGGCAATGGCTTTAAACTGAAGGAGGGGAGATTTAGATTGGATATAAGAAAAAAATTTTTCACTGTGAGTGTGATGAGGCAGTGGCACAGGTTGCCCAGAGAACTTGTGGCTGCCCCATCCCTGGAAGTGTTCAAGGCCAGGCTGGATGAGGCTTTGGGCAACCAGCTGAAGTCTCAGTGGTCACACCTTCTGGAGACACAAAGCACAATGCCCTCCAGCAGAACGATGCCTCAGAACTAGTACAGCTACTGCAACTCACAAGTGGAAGTTGGGGCTATTCTAATTTTGTGCCCCTCGGATCAGAAGAGACATGAATACCATATTGGCTTTTCAACTTCTGAGCAGGAATTGAAAGCACATAAAAGCAGTAAGCCTTCACTACCAAAAGAAAACATGCCTCTAACCTACGGCACTGCTTTATACTGGGTGCACCGAGTAGCTTTTAGCCCTCTGCTGATCTTGGGAGTGCAAGTTCAGAAAAAACATGCAGCTGCTGTAAGTCCTACGGGTTTCTTTGGTAATAGAAGACAGCTACCCAAAAGAGATTACATAATACAAAAATATTACTAGACTCCAGTACACTCACATCTTAAGTAACACATACCAGTTTGGTCATCTCACCTCATGAAGACATGGGAACGCCATGGAAAATTCACCCCAGGGTGAGAAGGAATTATCCAGTTACAGACCAGCCTCCGTGCAGAGACTACCTAGCCTATGGCTCTCAACTCACCAGATACAGTCATTAGTTTTCCAAGTTAAGATGACTACAGTAGAGGTTTACAAAAATCAAGAAAAATGTGGAAAAGGAAATATTAAATTGTCATTTATTTCTTCTCATAACAAGCGGGCACCCAATGAAATTATCGGGCAGCAGATTTAAAACAAACAAAAGGAAGTACTCTTTCACCAAGCATGTAATTAAATTGTGGAACCCATTGCCACAGGATGCTATGGAAGCCAAAAACACAAATGAGTTCAAAAAAGGTTTAGACAAATTCGCAGAGGAGATGTGCACAGACAGCTATCAGAAACAATGATCCAGATCAGTCTCGAGCTCTGGAAGTCTCTAAGCTATTCACTTTCAGAAATGGAAGGAATATGCAAGGGGAAGGTTTCCACTATTCTCTTCTTGTTTCTCGAGCTCCTTCCTTAAGCATCTGCTAAAGGTCCCTCTTTTTAAAGACAAGACATGGGGGAAAAACTGACCTTCTAGGTCTGTGTTAAGATTTCATTTTGTATTGAGCTATGACTGGGTAGCCTTTTTTATTGACTTGCTGTGTGTAAAACACTCAAAAAAGAAGTTGCCAAGCCACTGGCTATTGTATTC